CTTTATGTTCCATAGCCTCGTTTGCATCCCCACTCTGTCTCCAGGTTCAGCAAGGAGAACAAGGGCAGCATCAATCCTTATGTATACCTGCCCTTTGGGAATGGACCCAGGAACTGCCTTGGCATGAGGTTTGCCCTCATCAGTATGAAATTCGCTGTCGTCAGAGTCCTGCAGAACTTCACCCTCCAGCCTTGTGAGGAAACACAGGTGAGGCAGGAAACTCTCTCTATAAATCATATTTAATTGGGAGTTTTTTGTTTTTTAATTTAGTTTCACCTATAGAAAGGGGAAATTGGTCATTCATCATGAAATATAGGATTTGACCTGTAAGCTTAAGGACCTTCCATTCTGAGCTGCAAGTCTGTGTCTGGATAAAGCACTAGCAGAGAAATTATTTAGAGTTCATGCAGATCAGCACGACATGATTAAGTATAGTGTCTTTAAGATCAAGTCCAGGTTTAAATTGTGTGACTGACCGGAGATTGGGAAACTGTTGCACACGCTCATAGCTCGTAATGATCACCTTGCTGTGGTTTGTGAATGGAGGGCTTCCCGGCACTAGCTCTGCTTTGAACTTTGTAACTTTAAAAACTCACTGTGCCTAATCACCTCAGATACCTGGAAATGATTTACCCAGAGCATGGCTTTAAGAGATCCATATTGGCTGTAGTGAACACTGATTTCAGACACTACTATAGCACATAAAGAACTTCAACCCTTCAGGATCATCCTGACCATTTGATCTCACATTTTCATCACTGTGCTACATGAAGACGTCTTTTATGTTCTCTGAAGTCTGTCTTCTACTGTCTTGCCTCTTCATTCTGTGCTTATTCTTCAAGTTGAAGTAGGTGACTAAGTCATTCAAACAAGCTGTCTGGCCATGGCCCACCTACTCCTCTGCTCTAGTGATGTCTGAAGCCTCTTTTCATCACAAAGGCAATGCACCCAATTTTGTTCTCTGCACTGAAAATTATGTCTTTGAATTTCACCTTATTTTTGTTTACTTACTCTACCAAGACTGCTTTGCTGGGAAGTCTGTGAATATCTTAGGTATATTTTAAGGAGTATTTTACAACTGTTCTGGAGTTCTTAAATATACATTTAACCTATTTTTATATTTTAAATTTGCTCCTGTAAGCATACAAGGGCATATATGCCTATCTTTCTGTGGGTGTATCTCTGAAGAGAATAGATTCATGTTGTTAAAACACAAACAATACACTTAGAGAAGTTGACATGTTGCCCCCTCCCCAAACTTAAAGGTCAATTGTCTTTACTTCCAAATAAAGCAATGAATGACAAGGCTGAATTCTGGTCCTGTATGTAGCTACACAGCTCCTCTCATCAGCTGTCCTTTCTTCGTGGTCTTAGAGAGGTCGTTATCCCCTCATTTTTCACCCAGGGTAACTGTGTAGCTGTCCTGTCTACACAGTGCTTCAGAAAGATGGACAGACAAAGACTTTAATCTTGAAAGCTT